CTCAAGGTTCGCCTCTTTAACTTAAGATGACAGCCATAAGACCACTAGGTTTGAACCAGGAGACCATAAGGTTTCCTCAAGGCGGTGGACTCTACGTGTCTTTTGGCACAGAAGTGAACTCAGGCTCTGAAAAGAGACGGTCCCACCCTCTAGCCTCGCCAAGGCAAGACCCAATACTCCAACTTCACAAACGTAGTTAGAAAGCATTTTTATATGATATACAATTCCTTAAGACGGTGGACTCTAGGTGCCTATTGGCACAGAAGCAATCTCAGACCGTAAAAAAAGATGATATCACCAGCTAGCCTTGCCAACTCAAGGCGTGATACGCCAACTACACAACTACAGCGACTACGCGTAGTATGAAAGCCTTTCCTATAATATTACCTTTCCTCAAGACTGTTGACTCTAAGTGCCTATCGACAGGAAAGCGGTCAAACCGTGAAAAAAGACGGCCCCACCCGCTAACCTCGCCAACTACAGCAACTACGTGTAGTTAGGACTCTAGGTGCCTGTCGGCACAACAGTTAACTCAGGCCGTGAAAAGAGACGGTCCCGCCCGCTAGCCTGCTCAGAGACTGTGTCCCACATGTAATGAGAATATTGAAGATGAATTTCACTTTGTTATGACCTGTCCCACCTATAGAAAAGAAAGAGATTCATTGTTACAGACTATTACCACTAAGACAAAGTTCACCCAATCTAGTACACAGTACGATACATTCTATGAATTATTGTCATGTCCTACTACCATATCTGCTTACGTAGGTCAATTTCTGTACACCTTATTCATAAGCGAGACCAAATCATCATTTCATGAACATATTGTGACTCATATACTGTATAGATAGTAGTTTGTAGAAAGAAATGTAATAAGATAGTTTAGTTTTGTAGTATTGTTGTATTACTGCAAAACATTGTACCATGTACAATTGTCGAGCAATAAAGTTCATTTATTCAATTCATTCATTCATTCAATTCAATTCAACTACAGCAACTACACGTACTTAGGAAGCCTTTATCTTTATAATATAGTTTTCCTCAAGGCGGCCGATTCTAAGTGTCTATCCGCAAAGACATGAAGTCAGGCCGTGAAAAGACGATCCCGCCTGCTAGCCTCACCAAGGCAAGGCCTAAAACCCTAACTACAAAACTACAGCATCGGGTAAATGTTAACATAAGCTTTTCTTTCTTACTATATTTCCCGCCATTTTCCCTTATCTATGATGTCATTTTACGTCATTTAGACGTTGTTTGCGGTTGCTTAAGACGTAATAAAATCCAACAAGATATCAACACTCAATCGGACACTCCATCTTTAAACGTTTTGCCCACAGGTATCCCTCTATTGCCATTTATGAAACCGTATAAAAGTGCTCATAATAAATTTCACCATTGTTTCTTTAGACATTATCATATGAACCAAAATGTGCATTTTTGGATAGAAAAACACAAAATACCATTTATTTATTCAGAAAAACGAAGTCATCAGCATTTATTAGGCAGTGATTCGTTGCAGTTGTTAACTTACATGTTTGTACCGAATTTCAGCAAAAGTGCTTCATTTATCATGGCACTGGTGTCAGAAATCTACATTTTTAGCTAAAAACACCCAAATAATGCGAAAAATTGCAAACAAAATGAGCTTCCCTCATATTTACACTCAGATACTTCACTCAACATCGTCAGGAAACAAGCATTCCCCCACAGGTATCCCTCTATTGCCATTTATGAAACCGTATGAAAGTATTATCCTCTTCGTTGCTAGGGAGATGTATTTTCCTTAGCAACGGTTACCATGGAAACATGATATGAATTTCTGAGGCCCTGAAAATGAACAATTTTCCACCGATAAAAATTTTCTTCACATTTTACGTATGATATGCACTACATTTTACTGGGAAAGCAAGGTCAAGGTCAGATAACAAGGTCAGATAACAAGGTCAAAGCTGCCACGCTGCAAAGGTTATCATGCATAATGATTAACTAGAGGACCCAACCTTTTTTAAAAAAACATTGTCATCCTTTGTCCCTCTGTTTGGTAACAAATTGTCGGGGAGCTGGCCCATGGACTATAGACCATGTAAGCAACGCCTGGATCTAAAAGTTGACGAACACTCGACCCCTTATCATCATGGTAAGGCAGCGTCAACTTCGATTCCTGGGGCATATACTTAAAATGCCTTTGTGGGACCATGCCGGACATATGCCCTGTATGTACCGACGCACAACAAAAGTGAACGAATAGATAAGGTTGTTGTGAGCATTTGGGTTTAATTTTAAGTCTAGAAATCACAAATCCCCGCTCGTTTTCCGAATTTCTTGACCGAACCCATTGTTTACTATATGTACGTTATACGTCGCTAGCTACGCTCGCATGAAAATTACGTAATATACTGACTTCATTCGTACAAAACCTGCATAGGGACGTGAAAATAACAGGTAGCTATATACATTCTTGTGGTTAAACATTTAGCGAAAGTTTGGAGGTTGTTCCGGAAATTTCACGATCGCAAGTCGACATTGGCCTTAGATATCGTCGCACGTGAATCGTCAAGTAACTTCTGTTCTTTCGAAGATTATCCTCTACTTTCTCCGGTAATATTTCAGTTTAGCTGGATTAACTTCCACAGAAACGTAAAAATGTTGAACTGAGATTCTAGCGGGACGAACTTTACCGCAAAAGTGACGGCTGCGAGTAGTAGAGATTTAACGCGGATAAGTCATCAAAACGTCAGTTTAAACATGACGATCAAAGTAACCGGTATACGTTTATAATACCGTAAACCGGACGTTCTAACCCTGAAGTCAACACTTTTATTCTTTACTTATTACCTCCACAAGTTGGTGGAACACCACTCCAAGTCCCGTTCGGCTGGCAAGTTATATTGGCAGTCCCCCACAGCAGCCAATACCCGTCCAAACAGGTGTACCTGACTGTCTGTCCTGATGTAAAGTTAATGTTGTTATCCCTGATGCCATTGGCGGGCACACCAGGGTCCCAGCATTGACCTGCAAAAATATATATTACATATATATTACAAACAATGAAAGTTTAACTGAAATGAGGTGGCTCTTTCTTTCTTTCTGCGATTTCAAGAATTCATTATTTTTTTGTTTGTGTGATAATTCAGCAGGGAAATTATGTTAATAGCACTTCAAAAATTCAATTTCAGTCATACGAGTACGATTGCAAGTAACATGCAAATGATATGCGTGATGCTATAGTGATGAGTCCCGGCGTACAATCATGGCGTCGCCTATAGACTTAGACGCGGGCCCGTAAACCCTTAACTCCACGGGAAATACTGTGTAGCTAGCATGACCCTAGGCCTAGCACGTCCAGGTCACGAGATAACAAATCGGAAGTTCCATAACAATCTGCAGCACCATAACAAGCCGCTAGAAGGTCCAAAATCTAATGGTTTTCGAGGTCTCATCAAGACGTACCTAGCTACCAAGTTCATGACTATCCATGCAAAGCTTCTTGATTTATCGTGATCAATTACATACATACATACATACATACATACATACATACATACATACATACATACATACATACGTTAAAATCAGTTATTCCTTAGCAAACAACTAGATATGATTTTGGAACTAGTCAGACGGTTCAGGTAGCAGTGTAGCACCCACTACCTTTCGTCAGTGACTTAAAGACCAGAGGAGAAATGCAGATTAATAAGCACTAGAGTAGAACTTCTAGGAGCTACCAGCACCAAGAACAGACAACACTTAAGCTCCTGGTCTGAAACAACAGGAGCTTTTGACTAATTTGCATCATTATTCAACAATTTTGAACTGCAATTTCCAACAAAAGAAATTGGACTCGCCCAACTCCAATGATTTTTCAAGGAATAAGCATTCCACGGCTTTCGTGACGTTACGCAAATAACACAGCTCAGAAAAATGCTTACCACGCACGGTATCAAGACCTGTTTTAGACCAACAAGAACCCTCCGGAATATACCCAAGGACAAAACACTAAAAGAAAGTAAATGTGAGGTCATGTACCATTATAAGATACAGTGTCAAGGACAGAACTCCAAGGGCCCAGTAAGGAAACATATATTGGAAAGACTGAAAGATCCTTCAAGGCTACTAGTAGGTTCTTAGAACTAGCTCGACTACTTCGGAAGTCTCACAACATATACACATTGAATCGTCTGGACATTCAGTCTCATTTGATAAAGTTAGAATCTTGGACACAGAATCGGACTTTTTTGGACGTGGGATTAAAGAGGCCATCTACATCAGGTATTACAACCATCCCTCAACAGAGACGGGGGGCACCACAGACTTTCTGCAACCTATAATCCACTACTCACGGAGTCACGTATTATCTGCGTGACGTCACGGAAGCGGTGAATTGCTCATTCTTTCACAAAGACTTGAATTTTACAGTCGAAAATTTGTATGAGTACAAATTCTTGTGTCAAACTTGTTTCGCAATGACTTCTATTCTACCAACACAGGTTGTTTCAATCGTCTCATACACTCGCACAACAATGATACCGGGGAACCCGACTACTGGCCTCCCTATCTTTGCTGCCCATTTAATGCACAACCATCCACAACTTCTCAAGACATAAAAAGCTATATGCCACTACACAACGAGCCCTTGCATGACCAGCATAAACGTTTTAAAAACTGCGAATCTGCTGCAGAACCGAAAACAGCCACCACAATTGATATCGACCATTGCCCCCCCCCCCAAACACTAAAAAACCTACCCGATTACCAACTATTAACACAATCCAGTCAGGCCCTCTTAAGTTATGCTGACAACAAATATAGCGACCCAAACGACACCTCCCATGTTTTAAAGAGGTAAAAATTGAAAACCTAGCATGTCCAAGGCAAAAGATGCAAAAACCGAAAGAACAAAGTACCGTCGTCAGGGGACACAAACGACTTTGACCTTTGTCTTGCCAAAGCCTTCTTAACTTATGCTGACCACAAAACACAAAAAGAAATACACTCCTTACCAGACGTGTTGTGACTTGTGTAGGAGAAATTGAACCCCTGTCTTTCTACACTGTTGTCAGATGTAAACCTCAGGAACATCACGTTAGATGTGCTGCCGATAGGGCTGACTGACTGCGGACCCGTTAACCTGGAGATCCAAGAATAAATAGTAATTGAGCCAATTTTTGTCTCAATTGAGCCAATCTCAAAACACACAACACAATCGAAGCTTTCATAAGGATGTTTCGGGATATGTATTCATATACACAATAGATTGGTCATCATCGATCATTTTTATACCAACATTTCATGACCAGACATGGTGACGGCACACTCAAGTTACATCAGCTTATTTTATGCCGTCACCAACGCAGATACAGGACAAATACGGAACAGGACAATACTCATTTTCACCTGTCAGTTAAGTGAGGAAAGTCGTGTAAAGTGCCTTTCCCAAGGGCACAAGATCGGCGGCATGACAGGACTCGAACCCGGGACCTCTTGGTTCCGAGTTGAGCACTCTGCCCCTACGCCACACGACCCCACATATTGCTAGCTGCAGCATTGATATGAGCTAGTTCTTATCAATAGATTACAGTTTAGGGCCTTACTCCTGTAACACCGCCACACTTGCACTGGCTCCATCGTAGATGCGCAGAAAGTCATAACCTTGCTCAAGGTAGAAGCTGTGAAACGTGAGACGGATCAAGCTTCCTACCGGGACGGTGATCAGCCACTCGCAGTCCTGGTTGTCGCCATAGTTACCGGGGTAGTTCGGTGACGTGACAGGACCTCCGAAGGGAGCCGTCAGGTTGCCTCCACATCCGGAGACGCCCGGTAACAGGAACACGAGGAAGCACAGGGCGAGTGCCTCCAACCTGGGCGGGGATGATCCCGCCATGCTGCCTGAGAACAATAGAAAAGAAACGAAAATGAGTTTCTTGGCAGCTTCTATAGTTTTCTTGACTTTTTACGCTCAAAGATGCGGACCGTTGGGCAACCGATAAGTTACGAAATGTCATTGGTCCTCAAGGTCATCATAAGACTACTGGAAGACTTTGAAGATCAATGTAAGATCACTGAGATCACCGTGATTGTAAAACCTCGGAGATCGTTGAAATCTCACTGAAAGACCATTGAGTGATATGTCAAAGTTTTTTTGAACGCACAAAAGCCGCTCAAAGCAAAAGTTGGCAACACCGCATCGACCGCTGCAGTTCCTGTGCTTCTCGCATGGCGCAATACCAGGGGCTCGTTGTGTTCCGTGGACTTTCAAAATTGTCAAGCCCCCGTCACACATTCGCGCCCTTTCCCCGAATTTGTTCCCAGGTTTGGCTGACGTTCGGAAGCAGTATGACCAGATTTATGTCAAGTCTTTCTTTCTATATGACTCGTAACGAATTTGAGTGAACCTTGAGTCAAATTGGACCCCTAAACACGCCAATAATACTGCTGACTTACTTCCGAATGGTTGGCTGGAGTTCTGCTAACTTTTTTGCCACACCGTCTTAATTTTATGGATGACATCCGCGCGCGCATTGATTTTCGCCTGTTCTAAAAAAAAAAAAAGATCACAGCACGTCCTCCGAGGCAGGTGATGCACAAAAAGGACCGAAGACGCACCTAACACTGACATGTGTCATTTTTCGCTCAGTGGCATGTATGATCCTCACGTATGGGTAAAAACCTTCATATAGCGGACATTCCGTACTTCTGTACTGTACAATTTCAGACTTATTCGGTCCACGAAACGTGGAAAGCCTTATATAAGCTTCTTTTTCAGCACTTCATCCATATAGTGACGTCTGCTCTTTTGTAGTGAGTATGTACCATGACCGAATCGCGAAACGCTAAACAATATGAAAATGAAAAAATACTTTAAATACGCAAGATTTGCTCCTTCTATTAATAAGCACTTCATCCATGGTGTAAGCACTTTATCAATGGTGACGTTAGTTCTTTTATTGTGAGGATGAGCATGTACCATGACCGAAACGCGAAACGCTAAACAATATGAAAACGAAAAAAAGAAAATCCTTCAAATACGAAAGATTTCCTCCTTCTATTAAGCACTTCATCCATGGTAAAAGTACTTTATCAATGGTGACGTCAGTTCTTTTGTTGTGAGGATGAACATGGCCGAATCGGGAAATACAAAACTACATTTAAACAAGAACAGGAAAAACCATTTTAAATACGCAAGATTTGCTTCTTATCTAGAGATTATTACAACAGGTGATGCACAAAAAGGACCGTCTAATAAATTGACCAAAGACCGTATCTAGTAATTGACACATCTAAAACTTGTTTCACCTCTGTCTACCCTGATATCTGTTTTTTTTTCTCACTGGCACGTATAAACCTCACATAAAGCGGTATGTACATTCTATACTTTAGCTAAAATAACAGACTTATTCGATCCAGGATAAACGTGTAAAGCCTTGTAAGCTTTTTTAAAACTAATTGATCAATAGTGACGTCTTCTCTTTTGTTTTGAGGATGAACCTAACCGAATTGGAAAATGCCAAACAACTTCAAAATAAAAAGAAGAAAAACAATTTTAAATACGCAAGAATTGCTTCTTATCTAGAGATTATTGCCAAAAAAGGTGATGCACAAAATGGACTGTATGAATTTTTTGTTTGCTATCTCTCGGCTCGTTTCCCTTTGACAGTTTGCTTTGCCGGGCTGATTTTGTGCCGCCTTGTTGTTGCTTCCCTTTATTTGTACCCCCAAGTTGAGCACAGTCCATTCGCTGGTTCAAATGGTTCAAACAAACGATCACGAAACAGTAGAGTTATAACTCATCCCCGTAGCCAGAAGAACGACCCCACAAGGCTCAAAGGTCCACTTTTTATGTAAAGGTCCACTTTTTGGTCCACATTTTATGTAAAGGTCCAAGATTTTTCTTGAAAAGATGGACTGGAATCTTAGAAAAACTGCTCCCTTTGTCATTGAATAAAAAATTATCTCTGATTTTTTTCTTGGAAATCCTCTCAAAAATTCACTAAATCCCATTTTAGAAGGTTTATTTTTCAAAATTTTCCGGGGGACCATGCCCCCGAGCCTCGGCGCTCAAGGTCCCCTCAAGCAGTGGAAAGAACCCCCGACGGGCATGTAACCACATGTCATTCTACCACCAGACAAACATCCTACCTGTCTGTCCACGACTCTCCCAAATGCACAGAAAACCCAGGACAACGCAGAAAGGACTTCTTACTCCCGCCATTTCCTTCACTTACGTAATCTTATGTGCAAGGTACTGCCAGGTGCGGGCTTTGTCTTTATTTGGTTCAAGTCATTTCCTATTCTTTCACGAAACGCACGGCGTAAATCCTGACTGTGGGAATAATGGTTAGGAATAATGGAAAATGTCCTTTTTGTAAAAACGCCTGTGGGCAGAACCAAATATTTAATCCATGTGAAGAATGCAGCATTAGAAACGTTAGAGATGTCGCGAAAATGAAGTCAACCATCGCCTCCGTGAAATACCAGTATTTATGTCATACCTGAGCCGTGATGACGTTCGATGTCATGTCGATGTCGAATGTACATGTATATCCTTGCAATATACCTGGTCGCTCGCAAAGAGAAGCACTAGAGTAGAAATGCTGAATACACGTGGACCATTTCTGTGAACGGTTTCTCATCTAGTCTTACATGGCTCTGTACGTGACGTTACGCAAATAACACAGCTCAGAAGGATGCTTACCACGCACGGTATCAAGTCCTGTTTTGGACCAACTAGAACCCTCAGAATATACCCAAGGACAAAACACTAAAAGAAAGTAAATGTGAGGTCGTTTACCATTATAAGATATAGTGTCAAGGACAGAACTCCAAGGGCCCAGTAAGGAAACATATATTGGAGAGACTTAAAGATCCTTCAAGGCTACTAGTAGGTTTTTAGAGCTAGCTCGACTACTTCGGAAGTCTCACAACATATACACATTGAATCGTCTGGACATTCAGTCTCATTTGATAAAGTAAGAATCTTGGACACAGAATCGGACTTTTTTGGACGAGGGATTAAAGAGGCCATCTACATCAGGTATTACAACCATCCCTCAACAGAGACGGGGGTCGCTACAGACTTTTTGCAACCTATAATCCACTACTTAATGAGTCACGTGTGTTATCTGCGTGACGTCACGGAAGCGGTGAATTGCTCATTCCTTCACAAAGACTGGAGTTTTACAGTCGAAAATTTGTATGAGTACAAATTCTTGTGTCAAACTTGTTTCACAATGACTTTTACCAACACAGATTGTTTCAATCGTCTCATACACTCGCACGAAAATGCTACCGGGGACCCCGACGACTGGCCTCCCTATCTTTGCTGCCCATACCCCGCCATTTAATGCACGCACAACTTCTCAAGACATAAAAAAGCTATATGCCACAATTGATCTTGACCACTCGACCCCCCCCCAAAAAAAAAAAAACCTGCCTGATTACCAACTACTAACACAATCCTTTCAGGCCCTCTTAAGTTATGCTGACAACAAATATAGCGACCCACACACACGCGCACACGCACTTTCATATAGCGGACATTCCGTACTTCTGTACTGTACAATAACAGACATATTCGGTCCATGAACGTGAAAAGCCTTATATAAGCTTCTTTTTCAGCACTCGATCCATATAGTGACGTCTGCTCTTTTGTTGTGAGGATGAGCATGTACCATGACCGAATCGCGAAACAAAATGAAAATGAAAAAAAAAAGAAAATCCTTTAAATACGCAAGATTTGCTCCTTCTATCAAGCACTTCATCCATGGTGAAAGCACTTTATCAATGGTGATGTCAGTTCTTTTGTTGTGAGGATGAGCATGTACCATGACCGAATCGCGAAACGCTAAAACATGTACAATATGAAAATGAATAAAAGAAAATCCTTTAAATACGCAATATTTCCTCCTTCTATTAAGCACTTCGTCCATGGTGAAAGCACTTTATCAATGGTGACGTCAGTTCTTTTGTTGTGAGGATGAGCATGGCCAAATCGGGAAATACAAAACTACATTTAAATAAGAACAGGAAAAAACATTTTCAATACGCAAGATTTGCTTCTTATCTAGAGATTATTACAACACGTGATGCACAAAAAGGACCGTCTAGTAAATTGACCAAAGACCGTATCTAGTAATTGACGCATCTAAAACTTGTTTCACCTCTGTCTACCCTGATATCTGTTCTTTTTTTCTCACTGGCACGTATAAACCTCACATAAAGCGGTATGTACATTCTGTACTTCAGCTAAAATAACAGACTTATTCGATCCAGGATAAACGTGTAAAGCCTTATAAGCTTTTTATAAACTGATCCATAGTGACGTCTTCTCTTTTGTTTTGAGGATGAACATGACCGAATTGGAAAATGACAAACAACTTCACAATAAAGAAAAGAAAAAAAACTTTAAATACGCAAAAATTGCTTCTTATCCAGAGATTATTGCCAAAAAAGGTGATGCACAAAATGGACCGTACCCCATACGTGTCATGAATTTTTTGTTTGCTATCTCTCGGCTCGTTTCCCTTGACAGTTTTCTTTGCCGGGCTGATTTTGTGCCACCTTATGTGTTGTTGGTTCCCTTTATTTGTACCCCCAAATTGATCACAGTCCCTTCGCTGGTTCGAATGGTTCAAACAAACGATCACGAAACAGTAAAGTTATAACAGTATGTCATTCTACCACCAGAAAAACATCCTACCTGTCTGTCCACGACTCTCCCAAATCCACAGAAACCCCAGGACAACACGGAGAAGACTTCTTACTCCCGCCATTTCCTTCACTTGTGTGATCTTATGTGCAAGGTACTGCCAGGTACGGGCTTTGTACTAGTATTCGGTTCAAGTCATTTCCTATTCTTCCACGATATGCAGAGCAGACGGCGGA